ATGAGATGGACGAGTTGAAGAGAAGTGAAAGACCCTCTGTGAAATTAAAGTATCATTACTACTGCCCAACCATTTGTTTAAGTAATCCAAGGAAACCCGGAATTGAACCAGTGTTCTCTCTAATGCTAAGCAATGGTCTAAATGCCGCTGGGTACTGCGCTTGTATTTACTGTGAGTACATATTCGCAGTCGACCAAAGGATGGATATGGATGGAACCGTCAGTCATGGTTGGACCCATAAGATAATTCTTGTGTTAGAATTGATGAGCACGTCAATTTTACACATACTTGTGAACGCTACTAGTCTGATTACAGTATATGCTTTTTTTAACCCATATAATTTCCCAAATCAACATGTAACAGATATCAATAACATAGTGATGAGCAAAGCAACACCAATACCAAGATTGTCCCAGTCTTGAAATTAGTCTTGGTCTCTCTTATTCGGTCTTGGTCTTGCTCAAATACTTCTAGTCTTGGCCTTGGTCTTGCTGATATAGTCTTAGTCTTGGTACATACTTTATTTTTAATAATTCTTAGCGCAAATTTTTCTCTTTACCAACACAACCATTGTCTTAAATGCTAAAATTTTCTGTCCAACATGCGAGCTTGTCATGGCTGTCCCAGTCTTGAAATTAGTCTTGGTCTCTCTTATTCGGTCTTGGTCTTGCTCAAATACTTCTAGTCTTGGCCTTGGTCTTGCTGATATAGTCTCAGCCTTGGGAGCTTGTCATGGCTGTCATAGTCTTGAAATTAGTCTTGGTCTCTCTTATTCGGTCTTGGTCTTGCTCAAATACTTCTAGTCTTGGCCTTGGTCTTGCTGATATAGTCTCAGTCTTGGTACATACTTTATTTTTAATAATTCGTAGCGCAAATTTTTCTCTTTACCAACACAATGATTGTTTTAAATGCTAAAATTTTCTGTCAAACATGCCAGCTAGTCATGGCTCTTAAAGATAATAGTGTCGGTAGTTGTGAGAATTATTAAAACTCTCAAGAACTTACCCAATGTATAATTTGACTCTTCCTCCAACGCATAAATTGACCTTTTAGGTTAGTTAAAAGAAATAAGAAATTAATTTGTCTATATATTTCAGACAGAAAGAAAGAACACTTATTCCGAGGGCATTCTTGTAGATTCTTTTTTCCAAACAGTGGTAAAGTTTCTTTTTTTATGTTAAAATCCAGTAAAGAAAACTGAATATTTCAAATACTAAGAATGTTTTGTTCCAAGATAATAATTAAAGTTGCTTCAAATAGTTTAACTCATAAATCCAGCGGAAGCAATAATTTTTCGTTTAGTCTTGATTTTGCATATTTGGTCTTGGTTTTAGTCTTGGTCTTATTCGTTCGGTCTTGGTTTAACTCTTGGACTTGTTCGTTCGGTCTTGGTTTTAATCTTGACCGTGTTCATTCGGTCTTGGTCTAGCTAGTATAAAGACAATTTTGGTCTACAATTTCCAAGACCAAGTGTAAGAAGACTACAAGACCAAGATCAATTTTGCCCATCACTACAATAACTGAAGTTAAGATACTAAGAATGGATCTAGCACCAGGAGCTGGTGGGTATTTGCCATGGTTTCAACAAACTTATCAAAGGTCGAGATATTGGTCTCTTTAATTTAAAAAAAAAAACTGGATCAAACACCAATACAAAAAACATGAATTATATTTTAAGTTCACTTTTGTTCATTAAACACGGCATAAGCAACGCCGAAGATTACATCGTTTTTATTAGTATGCTTCTAACTAGGTATGCGCGATTATTATATGTAACAATCGTTTGTCGATTCTAAGAAAATAATTGATTATTGCCATTAATTGAAATAATCGATTATTCGATTATTTTTAGTAACCATTTACTTAGTCGATTACCTGACCGATTTTATTAATCGATTCCGTATCTTGAATCATCAGTACAAGACTCAAATCCATTTTTTTTTACACAAAATAATTTGAACCTAATAAATACTTTAAAAAACAAAATTCCATACAAAGTTTAGAAAACTAAAAGACGTTTCGACACCCAAGGTTTCATCCTCAGTTAGAGACCTAGATTTTTTTACTCTCTTAACCTTTCATGCTTGTAATGTGACCATCCTCAATTCTTTACAGAATAAAATACAACAATAACGTCCTGACATGCGGTTTACCTCTTAAATTTATTTTTTTGAAAGTTGTTTTAAGTCTAAAGGGAATTTATGTAATTTTCATTTTAAGAATGTTAGTTTCATCCACGTGCAAACCCACTTCCACGTATCCACTTCCTATTCCCGAGAAACTTCGTCGTTCTACTACATTATTCAGGAAGTTGCGAGCGTCTCGGAGGACCTAAGATATTGTGATAATGACGATCGTACACTTTTATTTTAGAAATTAAAAGCAGTTCCAGACATCCCAAAAGTCATTTACATTCACTCATAATATTCGAAATAACTGATACAAAAATAGAATTTTGAATTAAGTAAAAAAAAATTAGAAAATACTCTAAAACTCGTAATAAAAATAGAAGGTACTTACCGTTATCATATGTTGAACAAAAAAACCACGTAAAAAAATATTAGGGTTTCTTTATTATTCACCAAATCGCTAAATTTTAGGGTTTGATTTCAATGAATTTTAAACAATGAATAAATAAATTACTCAAACGATTTGAAGAAATCGGAATGCATAAAAGTTTCTTCAAGACAACTCATAGAACTGATAATTTATAAATTTAAGTTTGAAATGAGAATATTACATTTGTAATCAAAGCTGATCAAGTAAAAGTAAAATTTTACGATGTTAAAATCGATAAAGTTATTTTTATACGGTCACATCAAATGTTATACCCAATTACATCTTTGAATTCCATACTATGGTTGTTCGGAAAGTCATTTCGTTTTTTCCCGACAGAGGATTTAATTGTATTCTTTTGCACCCAACTTCACATATGCTTTGAGAGCTCATATAGCAAGGCTTGTGTGTGAAAAATTCCAATTAATTCTACGCAGTAGTTTTTGGTTGGTGCCCTTTTAAATATGGAGAGCGCCTTTTAAATATGGAGAGCTATCTTACTG